ATGTGCTTGACTGCTCCTTGCTTGTGCACACCTCGAGTTCAATGGAGACGAACAGCCAAGCTGAACATATGTTTCTAGAAGATATGTGAATCTTCAGACGCTCTCGTCACGTGTGGGGCATGCGAGCTTGGCAGCTGTTTGCGCAGCAGAAATAGTTCGTCGGTCGCAGCTCTGGTAGCAGACCGATCTCAGACGTCTCGATACTGCAGACTAGCGCTCGTGATCATTTGCATTCGAACACTGCTTCCCAGCTCCGTAGCTTGTCTACAGCTCGAATTAAGTAGAGAAGACCAACACCGCCTATTTGAAATTTGACGAGTGCCGATAGTTGTTTAGTCGCAGCTCTGGCAGCACGGTCTCAGCCGTCTAAATGCTTTAGCCTAACGCTTCTCAGAATTTCCTGTCGATTGGTGTATATCTGAGCTCCGTAGCTTGCTTACAGCTCGAAGTACATACAGAAAACACATATCATCTCTCACAACAAGTTGGAGAGTGCAAGAAGTTTGTCAGTTGTGGCTCTGGTAGCAGACCAATCTCATACGTTCGTCAGTGAACGCGACTGTGTCTGATGATTTCCAGTTGAAGGTGTGCTTCCCAGCTCCCTAGCTCGCCCACACCTCGAATTAAGTACAGAAAACCAGCACAACCTCTTATACAAATGGAATAGTGCAAATAATCATTTGGTCGCAGTTCTGGTAGCAGACCAGTCTCAGGCGTCTGGATACTTTAGACTGGTGTTCCTCGGCGTCTCCTGTCGATTAGTGTGCATGTCAGCTCCGTAGCTGGCCTACATATCGAATTGAATTGAGGAAGCGCACATCATCTCGCCCGGATCCAGGTCCACGGGGAGGGGGTAGGGGGAGGGGTAAACCCCTCCCCGAACGGGAAGAGGGAGGGGTGGAAGAGGAAAAGCCCTAAACCACCGACGCCCAGAGGGCTGGTGGGATTCGGAGGTCCAACCCAGGACCTGGACCCCAAAATCTGGAAACCGGAGTCCGGATATCCGAGTTCGGAGATCCCACCCAAAACCTGGAACCCGGAATCGGGAACCACGAATTTGGATATCCGAACTGAGAGGTCCAATCCAGAACCTGGTACCCGGAATCCGGAACCTGGAAGCCGGATATTCGAATTCGGAGGTCCAATCCGCAACCTGGAACCTGGAACCCGGAACCCGGAACCCGGATATCCGAACTCGGAGGTCCAATCTGGAATTTGGAGCCAAAAATCCGGAAACCAGAATCTGGATATCTGAACTCGGAGGTCCAATCCAGAACTTGGAACCCCGAACCCGGAACCCCGAATCCGGATATCCGAATTCGGGTGTTCAATTGGGAACCTGGAACCCAGAACCCGAACCCCGAATCCGGATATCCGAATTCGGAGGTCCAATTCGGGACCTGGAGTCTGGAATTCGGAACCTGGAATCGGGATATCCGAATTCGGAGGTCCAATCCGGAACCTGGAACCCCAAACGCGGAATCTGGATATCCGGCTTCGGAGATCCAATCCAGAACCTGCAACCCGGAACCAGGAACCTGGAAGCCAGATGTCCGAATTCGGAGGTCCAATCCGGAACCTGGAACCCAGAACCCGGAAGCCGGAACCCGGATATCCGAATTCAGATTTCAAGCTTCCGAATTCGATTTCCGAATTTGACCTTCCCAGCCTGATTCTCCAGATCGCCCCTGGAGAAGACTATTCTTACTCTGCAACCGTTCTTGCTAGACTGGAATATGTTGATTCAGAGAATCTCGGGCCATGCGTGTACGGTGTGCGACCAACCTGTGGATCCTCCCACCCCCAGATATCTGAACTTAGTTTACGGAGTAGTATGACGCAACGTTGATCCACCACTCAATATATCTTGCAACCATCTTTGCCCTGCGCTATGGTGGAACTTTTCTTTTCGACGATGGCCATAGCAAGTGGCTGGGAGCTCTACGAGGTCCCTGGTGGGAACCACTCGCTTCTTCCCGCCCCTGCCGCCCCGCCGAGGAGGAGGAGGAGGAGGAGGAGGAGGAGGAGGAGGAGGAGGAGGAGGAGTAGGAGGAGGTGGAGGAGGAGGAGGAGGAGGAGGAGGAGGAGGAGGAGGAGGAGGAGGAGAGGAGGAAGGGGAGGAGGACGAGGAGGACCAGAGGCGTTGGCTCCGCGCCGCGCCGCCGCCCCCTGTCGGCTCGGCGGCAGCCGCCGGCCAGGGCAGGGGCCTGGCCGCCTTGGCTCCGCCGATGCCGCCGACGGAGGGCCCCGCGGCCGCGGCGGCCGCGCGCGGGCTGGCCGCGCGCCTCGTGGAGGCCGCGCGCGAGGGCGGGCCGCCTCCCCTCGGACGGGGCCAGGAGACCTCCAACGCAGGGGGAAAATCAAAACGGAGGTTATTCTAGATCTCCTCCTTGCCTCTGCCCTCCGCATGTGTCTGTCTCTGCACATCCTCCACGCGTTTCGTGGCCCCGCAGGGAGCTCCACCGAATGCCCCAGTGGCCCACGTGCATAGTCCCCCAGCCAGACGATGAGGCGGATGAGGAGGAGGAGGAGGAGGTGGAGGAGGAGGAGGAGGAGGAGGAGGAGTTTTATGAGGACGACGAGGGGATGAGGATGAGGAGGAGGAGCAGGAGGAGGAGGAGGATGAGGAGGAGGATCAAGAGGAGGAGGAGGAGGAGGAGGAGGAGGAGGAGGAGGAATCGGAGGAGTCGGAGTCGGAGTCGGAGTCGGAGTCGGAGTCGGAGTCGGAGTCGGAGTCGGAGTCGGAGTCGGTGTCGGAGTCGGAGTCGGAGTCGGAGTCGGAGTCGGAGTCGGAGTCGGAGTCGGAGTCGGAGTCGGAGTCGGAGTCGGAGGAGGAGGAGGAGGAGGAGGAGGGAGGAGGAGGCGCCACCGCACCCCTTTCGGCACCCCTCTCTCACGCCTCGTCAGCAGAGCGCGGGGCTTCGGAGCAGGCTCGGGAAGCCTTCCAAAGAGCTCTGCCTGGAAAGTGCCCGCCCCCGGTGCCTTCTCCCCCGGGGCGCGCCGCCGAGCTCCCCTCACGGGACGCCCTTTGGGCGTCACTGCCGCCTGTTCCCGCCTGTTCCCGCCCACTCTTCCTCCTCCCCCTCCTCTCCCTCTCCTTCTTCTTCTTCTTGTTCTTCTTCTTCTTGTTCTTCTTCTTCTTGTTCTTCTTCTTCTTACTCCTCCTGGTCTTCCTTCGTCCTTCTTTTTCTTATTATTTTTCTTGTTGTTGTTTGTCTTGTTGTTCTTCTTCTTGTTCTTCTTCTTCTTCTTCCTATAGCCAGATTTTTGGACAATGCCTCATTTGTTTCACTCAGTCGCCATCTGCGCAGCCTCGAGTCTGCCGACGAGTCCTTCTGGATGCATGGCCTTTTGCTTGCCCTCGGAGCCACAAGAACCATGTGGTGACGGACCTCGACGGACCGCGTGGTAACCTCGGACTCCCCGACGACCTCACCGCGCGGTCCGACACCGCACGGTCTTGGGACCTCGGAGACCCCCGGTCGCTCGAGATGTCCCCGAAGAGCGACTCGAGCCCCAAAGCCGCACGGTGGCCCCGAGTCTGCGCGTGCTCACCTCGCGGTGTGGTCACCACGCCATCCGGGGCCCCCCCCCGGTTCTCCGGCCTCTTCCGCTCCCCTCTGCGAGGCCGCCCGCGAGGGCTGCAGCGGGCTGGGCGCCGCGCGGGAGGGCGGGCCCCGCACCCCGGACGGGGGCGGCGGTGCCGCCGGCGGCGAGCTCGACCTGGAGTGCCCGCAGTGCAGCGGCGTCCTGTTCGAGGCCACCACCCTCGAGGACTTGAGAAAAGAGTAGGAGCACAACATTGAGAATCTCAACGTCACGGCTGGGAGGGTGAATAGAACGATATGGCCGCAAGAACGGTGATGACATTGCTGGTGATAAGAAGAAGACCAGGGAACGGCAGAATCACAACCTTTCGGAGGTCCGCGCGTTTTTTAAAGGGGGGATCAGCGCTGGAGTGGCGTGGATTTCTTGCATCGGCGCTGGAGCAGCGACCTGAGAGATTCGTGCGGACGCCCGACGGTGTTTGTGTGTGTGTGTGTGTGTGTGTGTGTGTGTGTAGGCTTTCCATCGCCAGCGCAGTGTCTCTGCCTAGCCACCGACGTAAACAAGCGTTTATAGGCTTAGCTCGCATCCGTTCGTCCGACATCGGCCACATCTGCCAGCGCAGTCACTCTGCCTGTCCGCTGACGCAAAAAGTGTGTGTGTGTGTGTGCACTGTGCTGTGCTTTTTATTGCTCCCCTCGAGGACGGCGACACGGTGTGCCGGCCCTGCGCCCGCCGGCGCCGCGAGGGCCTGGAGGAGGAGCCGGGCGGGGCGAGGGCAAGGCGAGCCCCGCTCCAGGGAGCGCCCCCGAGCGCTCTCGGAGCGCTCCAGACCGCTCGGGTTGAGGCCGCGGCGCGCCCGACACACGGCCCTCCGAGAGCCGCCGGATCTCCGAGCTTCTGGATCCATCCTCGGCCGAGCTCGTCCTCGCCTCGGCTCATGGTGTTCCCATCGTGCTCCAGGACCACACTCCAGGAAGGATTTTGAGCGCAATGGTCAGCATCGAGCCGGCGTCTGCCCGACACGCGGGCGCAGCGTCGAGCGAGCATCGCCTCCCCCCGCGCCCCGCACGTGACACCCCGCCGGCCTCGACGCCCCACTCGGTGCCCGACAGGCTTTCGGGTGATCCGGGCTGAGGTACTCAGGCTGGAACCTCTGAAGCCTTGGCCTCGCTTCGATAGGGGGCCACATGCGAACCCTACCCCTGCCCCCCACGATTTCTGAGGGCGAGGGTGGGGTTCACTTCGATCGGGAGCTTCCGAACAAAGTGAACCCCACCCTCCCCTTCAGAACTCGTAATTAGGGGGCAGGGGTAGGGTTCGCATGTGGCCCCCTATTCGAGGAGGAGCGGGCGCTCCCCGCGTGGGCCCCGCGGCGCGCCGCCGTGGGCTTCGGCGAGGGCATCAACGTGGTGCTCACGGAGCTGGCGCAGCACTTCGCCCCGAGGGCCCAGGCCGTGGCCGCCGCCCGCCAGCGCGCCAACGGCCTCTTCGGCGAGGGGCGGCTCGCGGAGGCCGAGGCGGCGTACTCGGCGGCCATGGCCGAGGCGCCCTGCGCCGACGCCGTGCTCCACTGCAACAGGTCCTCCGGCAGGGGCGAAGCGCCCCGGCCTGCCCCCACGCCCGCGTTTCGCTTCGCTTCGCTTCGCTTCGCTTGAGCTGTGGGGCGCTCGCCTGCGTGTGTGGCGTTTCGCTTCGCTCGTGCCGTGGGGCGCAGCTCGGTTGCGGCGCCGCCACCACGCGGGGCCCTGCGAGAGCTCGGCTTCTGCTGGCCGGCGACGGTTCTGCCAGCCCCACTGCGGAGTCTCGATGGCAGGCTTGGGCACGCAGTGGCTCACCAAAGGCGCCGCCGCCAGCAGAACGGACTCCGATTTTGCGATTTTGCACCCAGGGCATCTTGAGATGGCACAGTCGCTGCGTATGAATCCTGCGGCAGTAAAGAACTTCCCAGTCGGCCCACCAAGAAGATCGGCCACGCGCAGAGGGGGGGGAAGGACAAACTCAGAAGCAACCCGGCTTCTTAGAAGCGGCGGGCCTTGTCTGTAGATGCGAGGCCCGCGCCTTCTAAGAAGCAGCCTCCTCCTGAGAAGCCTTCCCCCCTCCCTGCACCCCTCTGCGCGCCGCCAAGAAGAGCATGATCTTCGAGCGTTTCTGGCCGCGCCTGTTTTTGTGCCAGGACGTCGGCTGAAGCTCTACGAGCCCTGTCGTGGTAGGTCTGTGTCCGCGGCGGGCCCGGGATGGGGGAGGCGAGGGGGGCCGGGCCTGCTCGGAAGGCGGCGCGGCTCCGCAGGGGGCCGGGAGAGCTCCTTGGAAGGCCGGAGGCCTCGTGAGCCCTCTGAGGAGGAGAAGGGGGAGGAGGAGGAGGGGGAGGAGGAGGAGGGGGAGCAGGAGAAGGAGGGGGAGGAGGAGGAGGGAGGAGGAGGAGGAGGAGGATGAGGAGGGAGGAGGAGGAGGAGAGGAGGAGGAGGAGGAGGGAGGCAGTAGGGAGGGAGGGAGGGAGGGAGGGAGGCAGGTAGGGAGGGAGGGAGGAGGAGGAGGAGGAGGAGGAGGAGGAGGAGGAGGAGGAGGAGGAGGAGGGGGGCCAGCCCTTTGTGCCTTCCTCCTGGGCACGCGGCCGAGTCTAGGAGTGCCGGGGCCGTGGGCCCCTGCTCAGAGGTCGGTGGCCCGCCTGAAGCTCGGCGACGCCGGGGGCGCGCGGGCCGACGCGCTGGCCGCGCTGGGCCTCCTCGCGCGGCGCGGCGCGGCGCCTGGCAGTTCCGCTGGCCCTGGGGGTTCGATGTGGGCGAAGGTCGGCCATGCGCAGGGGGGGGGCAGGGGGAGGGGGGAAGGCTTCTTGGAAACACCCCTACTTCTTAGAGGGCGCGGGCCTTCGCTCTCGAGGTAAGGCCCGCGCCTTCTGAGAAGCAGCCTCCCTCCAAGAAGCCTTCCGCCGCCTCCCATCCCCTTGTGCGCGCCGCCAAGAAGGCCTGGTTCCGCCTGGGGCAGGCGCTACTCGCAGCAGAGCCCCCAGAGGATGAGCTGCGCGTGACGAGCGTCCCTTCGCTGGAGTGGCCTTTGTTGCGCGGCCTTCGGGGGGCGCGCGGGGGCCGTACCCGAGCACGCCGGCCGCTGCGGCCGCATCGCACGCAGCGGGCGGCAAGCCGCGCACCAGAGGTCAGCCTTGCCCAGGGCCAGTCTTTTTGCGCGTAGCCGAGAGGAGGCCCGCGCCTGCTTCGCGCTCGCCCTCGCCTCGTGCGGGTCTGGGGCAGGCCCGCAGCATCGCACGCAGGAACCCCCCTCCCACAGGGCCATGGCCTCTCAGCCCCACCATCCCGCGGCCCAGTTGGGGACGGGCCCCTCGAAACCCGAAGGGAGCCGCCTGCATCCCCGTCCAGGGGGATGACTCGGCTGGTGGGGCCAAGGCCATGCCAGTGGGATAGGGGTCGGCTCAACGATGCTCAGGCCCCGAGCCCCGCGCCCGGCTCGCGGGGGCGGTGGGCAGGCTGCTGGCCGCGCCGGAGGCCGAGGACGCTCGGCCCGCGGAGGCGGTGGAGGGCTGGCTGCGGCGTGGCCACTGCCCGGGCCTCTGGCCTGCGGAGCACGCGCTGGCGCCTGGCGAGGCGGAGGGTGCCAGCGCGGCGTGCGGCGGCCTGCAGTTGGAGTTGCAGGGCTCGAGCGCTGACTCGGAGGGCACCAGTGATGCACCTGGGCGTACACCGATCCTGGCCAGGTCGATCCTGGGCCTCGAGTCGGTGTATATGCCCGCCTGTCGAAGCCAGGAGGGCGTGTGCACCGATCCTGGGCCCAGGATGGTCCTGACCAGGATCGGGATGTCTGTCTGTCTGTCTGTCTGTCTGTCTGTCTGTCTGTCTGTCTGTCTGTCTGTCTTTCTGTCTGTATGTACTTACGCACGTATGTATGTATGAGTGCAGATAAGTATGTACTGTGTGTATGTGTGTATGTATGTATGTATGTATGTATGTATGTATGTATGTATGTATGTATGTATGTATGCATGTGTGTGTATGTATGTATGTATGTATGTATGTATGTATGAATGTATGTATTGCATGCATGCATGTATGTATATATGTATATATGTATATCGCACAAAGATGTATGCGGGTATACCTATACTGTACATGCGTTTGTATACATACTCATATATATATATATGCACATGCATATGTATATATTCCCAATCACATGCTCTGCATATGCATATGCATGCGAACATGCGTATGCGTATGCGTCGTCGGATGTACATGTATATGTATACGTATATGGAGACGTATATATTGATATGCGTATCTGTTGATGTGTAGGTATATACGTATGTACATATATACGTACATGTATGTACATCGATATACATATTCGCATATCCACAGCAGTATTCGTATACACACATCGAGATGTATGTACACGTGTATACATGTGATGATTGAAACTGATTGTTAATACACGTGTACATGTATATGTATATATACATACATGTGTATAGGTATATTTGTTGGTTCAGGTATTTGTGCATGTGTACAGTTGTATATTTCATGGATGCGCCTTTGTTAATGTATCCGTGTAGGTATAGGTCCATGCGCATACCCATGTATACACATGTGGCTACATCTATGCAAATAGACATAGATGTATGCATATGTACACATTTAGGTATAAGCACATGTAAATGTATATGTGCACATTTTAAGTATAGGTGTACGCATAGGTATATGCACATATCTACGCATTTGTATTTGTATATGTCTCTGTGCACATAAGGATAACACAATATACGTACACATATAGGTAGGTGTATGTGTATGGTTAATTGTATTTGTATTTGTATATGTTCCCCAATCAGAGCTTGCCTCTGTAGGGGTCCTAGCGTATTCATATTTTTAGGTGAGGTGTGCCGCCGACTTCGGGGGCGGGCCTGGGTGCCCGGGTGCCCAGGTGCCCAGGTGCCCGGGTGCCCATGTGCTTTGTAGTCCTATAGCCCTAGAGCCCCAATGGCCTTAGAGCCTTATAGCCCTAGAGCCTTATAGCCGTATAGGCCTCTAGCCCTATAGCCCTATAGCCGTAATAGCCCTATACCCCAGATAGCCCAATAGCCCTATAACCCTAATAATCCTACAGGCTTATAGCCTTATAGGCCTATAGCCCTATAGCCCTATAGCCCTATAGCCGCATAGCCGTATAGCCCTACAGCCCTATCGCCCAATAGCTTCATAGCCCTATAGCCCCATAGCCCCATAGCCTTACTGCCCTATAGCCCTGCAGCCCTATAGCCCTATAACGCCATAGCCCTATATCTTTTAAGACACGTGTTAGGTTTTTCTCTGGTATCATATTGCCATTTCTATAGGTGTACGTACATTCATATGCATATGGTTATATATGTATAGGTATATTCACACATGCTTATACATGCCGATGTATACACATATGTATGTATGCATGCATGCATGCATGCACATATGTAATGTATGTATGTATGTATGTATGTATGTATGTATGCATGTATGTATGTATGCATGCATGCATGCATGCATGCATGCATGTATGTATGTATGGATGTATGTATGTATGCAGGTATGTATGTATGTATGTATGTATGTATGTATGTATGTATGTATGTATGTATGTATGTATGCATGTATGTATGCATACACACATATCGATGTATATATTCATGTGTATGTGCACGTATGTGTATACAAACGTACATACGCATGCGTCCATGCATGCATGCATGAATGCATGTATGTATACATATACGCTTTCTATAGACTTATACATATGTGTTTTCGTATGTGTGTGTATATCCATATCTTATTCTTTATGCATTTTAAAGTGCCGTTAAGTACATATACAGATGCACAGAAGAAGGCCCCGAGGGGGAGGGGTGGGCCAAGCCGGTGTCACTGTGTGGCATGGGGGGCCTAACGGGCCTCCAACAGACAAAAGGGCCCTCAATGTGGCCCTGAGGCCACCACTTTCTGGCCCTCGAGGGGGCCAGGAAGCACCACAGCGCTCCCAGCACGCCGACCATTGCTTCGAGACGGCTCACGTGGCCTCCACGACGCCCCAAGAGAGCTTCCAGCTGATCCCCCAGAGAGGCCCGCGGCCCCCCCGAATGAGTTCAGATACGCCGCAGAAGCGCCCTAGACGAGGCCCACAGGGCCCCCAAACGGCCCCTAGCACGCCCACCATTGCTCCGATGAGGGCTCAGGTAGCCGCCTGTGCGCACCCAGAGAGCTTCAAGCGGATCCCCGAGAGAGGCTCCGCGGGCGACAATCATCGATGCCCCGTGGGCTTCTCAAGGATTCCGGCGTGGTCGCCTGTGCCGCTGCTCCGCGCGCGAAGATGGCACCAAGAGGCGCCCAACAGGGCTCCGAGGCACCCCGAGAAGGTGCCAGACGGGCCCACGAGGCGCCCAGGCTCGCCCAAGCGGGCTCCACGTGGCTCCCCAGACGAGCTTGGACACGCTGAAAAAAGATCCCCAAGGACGCCCGCAGGGCTCCAAAACGGTCCCAGCATCCCCACCATTGCTCCCATGCGGCCCACGAGGCATCCAAGACGGCCCAAGAGGGCTCTGAGCTGCTTCCCAGACAAAAAAGACAAAAAAGTAGGCACATAGCATTGATTTCCGTAGGTTTTTCGTATATTTTCGAGTGGTCGCCTGCTCCGCTTCCCGACGCTCGGAAGCGGCACGCGAGGCGTGCGCGAGGGCCCCAACGCGCCCCGAGGCGGCGGCAAACCAGCCCAAGAGGCACCCAGAATGTGGCAAGAGCGCTGCAGGCGGCATTTCAAATGAGCCTGGACACGCCACTAGGGCCTGAAAGAAAGTCTGCATGGTCTCACAACGGCCCCAGAACGTCCACCACAGCTTTCATGCTGCCTACGAGACATTCAAGGCGCCCCACGGAGGCTCCAAACTGCCCTCCGAGAAAGCCGCAATGAGGAGAAATCGGTGACTTTCCATCGTTTGCAATGGTTTGTCAGTGGTCGTCTGCTCCGCTTCCCGACGCGCGCGGACGGCCCAAGAGACATCTACGAGAGAGCCCCCGCACACCGCAAGAAGGCTTACCACGAGCCTCGACCCTCCGAACGGGTTCTACACGCGGCCGAGGAGCGCCAAAGGCTGCCCAAATGAGCCTGGACACCCCGACAGGGCCCCACAGAGGCCTCCACGATGGCCCACACACGGCCACAACCATCATATTCCGGAGAGCCTTCTGGGAACGTGATTCTCGTCGCCCGTCATCGGGCCAGGAGGTTCTGCAGTATCTCAAATGAGCCCCAATACACCGACAGGGACTCACAGATGCCTGGATGAGGGCTTCCACACGGCTTGCTTTCAGGTTCCCGGAGAGCCTTCCGGGAACCTGATTGTCGCCGCCCGTCATCGGAGCAGGAGGTTCTCCAGCATTGCTTCGTGTTGCCCTTCGGAGCCCTCCAAGAAAATGATCTTGGCAACCACTCCGAGGAAAACGACGAGGAGGAGGATAATGAGGAGGGACCGACTGCTCCCATGCGCTTCGGTCTCCTGCACCCCCCGCTCAAGAACACCGTCAAAAGAGAAGGACGATCAGTGGGTGCTGGGGGGGGCTGCGCATACATCTACATCTCTCTCTCTCTGTCGCTCTCTCTCTCTCTCTCTGTCTCTTCCTCTTCCTCCCTCCCTCCCTCCCTCTCCCTCCTTCTCTCTCTTATACATATATATATATATATATATATATATATATGTATTTATATACATTTATAGATGTCTATATGTATTTATGTATATATGTATATATGTATATAATGTAAACACCGCCCCCTCCCCATGGGCTCCGTCAATTTCGCTACCATCGGCGGCAAGTTCCCGGTATCACCCTCCGGCGCGTCCAAGAGAGCCCCCAGAGGGCCTGAAACGGCCCAGGACGCCCTCGAGACAGCCCAAGAGTGCTTCAAGGCTATTCAAGCTGGCCCCCCGACGGGTCTGGAAGCCCCCAGGACCACTCAAGATCGGCCCAAGAGGTTTCCAAGAGTCCCCCAAGAGCTCGAGGGAAGCTCTCGAGAGGCGAAAGTCATGGGAACATCCGAAGGGATATTCATGATTTTCTGTTTTCTCGCACTTCCGCCTCCGACACGCTTCCGAGGCTTCCGCATGCCCCCCAAGAGAGCTCCAAGAGGCACCCAAGAGTCGTCCCGAGCGGCGCGAAGTGGCCCCAAGAGGCCATAAGCGATGCCCACGGTGCCCGAAAGAAGACTTTCCGAGGCCCCAAAGACGCTTCGAGCAGGCCCCGAAGAATTCCCACGAGCCGCCCCAGAGGTACCCAGCGCCGAGGAAGGCCCCGAGAGGCCTTCAAGAGCCCCCAAGAGGCTCCCAGGAGAGCTCCAGGATGCCCCCAAGAGGCGTCCCGAGCGGCTCCTGGGGGCATGCGCAAGCCTACGAAGCGCATTGCATCGGTGGCCGAAATGCGAGAATCCAGAAATCGTACATGTCAGTGGGTTTTGCAGTTATTTTGGCCTCTCGAATGCTTCCCTGGAGCTTTTGGGGGACTCTTAGAGGCCTCTTGGAGCGATCTTGGGGTGTGGGTGCTCTTGCCCCCCCCCCCCCCCCCCAGAAAAGGAATTCCCTCGAATCCTTTTTTCTCTAAGCTCAACCCCCCCTCCGTTCCCTCCAGGCCCAGGCTCTGGAGTGCCCCAGAGTGCCTTTCCGTTTTTCCCCATCCCTCGCTGTCCGTTCTCCTTGATCTTTCTTTCCTGCTCTTGGTTCTCCCGTCTTTCGTTCCACATTCTTCTCTTTCCTCTCCTCCTCTCTCCTCCCCGCTGCGTCATTTTCCCGTCAATCCTTCGCGCCTTCCTGTCTCCGCCTCCCTCAAGCATTTCCGCCTCGCCCCATCTCTCATTCTCATCTGTCTTTCACTCTTTCCTCCTTCCGCCTCCCTCACCCAGCATCCTGCCCCGCTGTGTGGTGGGATGCCCCGCTTGAAAAAAAGGGATTCCCTATTTTTTTTCAGGGTCTCCCCCCCTCCGTTTGCTCCTGTCCCAGGCTTTGGCGTGCCCCCAGAGTGCGGTTCCCGTTTCCCCATCCCTCGCTGTCCGTTCTCTTTGATTTTTCTTTCCTGCTCTTGGTTCTCCGTTTTTCGTTCCACATCCTTCTCTTTCCTCTTCTCCTCTCTCCTCCCCGCTGCGTCATTTTCCCGTCTCTCCTTCACGCCTTCCTGTCTCCGCGTCCCTCAATTCGTTTCCGCCTCCCCCCATCCCTCATCCTCATCTCTCCTTCACTCCTTCCTCCTTCCGCCTCCCTCACCCAGCATCCTGCTCCACTGTGTGGTGGGATAACCAGCTTGAAGATAAAGGGATCCCCTCAAATCCTCCTTTTTCAGGGTCTCCCCCCCCTCCGTTTGCTCCTGTCCCAGGCTTTGGCGTGCCCCCGAGTGTGTTTCCTTTTTCCCCATCCCTCGCTGTCCGTTCTCCTTGATCTTTATTTCCTGCTCTTGGTTCTCCTCCGTCTCCCGTTCCATATGCTTTCCTTTCTCTCTTTCGCCCTTCCTGCTGCCTCATTTTCCCTCCTCCCTCATCCTCGTCTCTCCTTCACGCCTTGCTCTCTTCGCCTCCTTCATGCGTTTCCGTCTCCCCGACCCCTCGCTGTTCGTTCTCCCTGATCTCTTCCTTGCTCGTGGTTCTCCCCCGTTCCATCCACATCCTTCTCCTTCCTCTCCCCCTCCCTCCTTCCCGCTGCGTCCTTTTCCCACTTCCTTTCTCCTCGTTTCTCCGTCACGCCTTGTTTTTCCATGATTTTGGCCTCTTGAGCGCTTGCCCGGAGCTCTCTGGGGACTCTTGGAGGCCTTTTGGGGAAATCTTGGGTGCTCTTCGGGGCTCCAGGGCCATCTTGGAAAAAGGGAATTTCATCAAATCCTTTTTTTGCCAAGGTCGACCTGTCCTAGGATTTGGCTTGCCCCAGTGTGCGTTTTTTCGTTTTCCCCATTCCTCGCTGTCCGTTCTCCTTGATCTTTTTTACCTGCTCTTGGTTTTTCTCTATCTCCCGTTCCACATCCTTCTCCTTCCTCTCCTCTTCCATCCTCGCCGCTGCGTCATTTTCCCTCCTCCCTCCGCCTCGTCTCTCCTTCACGCCTTCCTCTCTCCGCCTCCCTCATGCTGTTTCGGCTTTCCAACGCTCCAAGACGACCCCAGGCCCAAGAGGCCCCCAAGACAGCACCAAGACAGCCCAAGAGGTCCCCGCGACTGTCCGAATACGATCCAAGAGAGCGCCAAAACAGCCCAAGAGGCCGCCAAGACGGCCTCAGAGGCCCTCAAGACGGCCCCAAGACAGGGGCAAGAGCGGGGATCCAAACTGACACTTCAGCCCAGACGCCAAGACCCCCAGGGTTTTGCTGGCCAGCAGGGTTTTGCCAGGCTCTTGCCAGGTTCTCTCGGGAATCCCCCCTTAGGCTGCCCTGGGTCCTCCTCGTGGCTGCCTTGCGTGACTTCCTGGAGCGTTATCGTTCCTGTATGGTGATCCTTGCGGGATGATGTTCATCCTCATCCGATCCTGTGAGGTTGGCTTGGACGGTGCTAGAACCTCAGCACGCGCGAAGCGCGCGTGGTTCTAGTAGGTGCATTCGGTAGGTTCGCGTCGTGTCGACCGGCGGCGACCCCAGCGCGGGCGTTTCGAACGCCGCCTGTGGCCCAGAGTCGACCCATCGTTGAACGATCTGATGTTTCGGAACCGGCCGATCGTCCAAGGCTGACCGATCCCCGCGGTGTCCGAAGCCAGCGCCCAAGTCGGCACGACGCGAGCCCGCCGTGCAGTCGGTGCCCTCCCGCGGAATGCGGCGCCTGGGTGCGCGGGCAGCTGGAGCTCGGGGGTGGCCCAACCGACCCCCTGGCAAGCCATCCCCTTCCGTGGCCTCCTCCTCGCCTCGCTCCAGGACGCGGCCCACCCCCTCGGGAGGATGAGGAGGAGGAGGAGGAGGAGGAGGAGGAGGAGGAGGAGGAGGAGGAGGAGGAGGAGGAGGAGGAGGAGGAGGAGAGCAGGAGGAGGGAGGAGGAGGAGGAGGAGGAGGAGGAGGAGGAGGAGGAGGAGGAGGAGGAGGAGGATGGGAGGAGGAGGAGGAGAGGTTATCCTCAGGAGGAGGAGGAGAGGAGGAGGAGGAGGAGGAGGAGGAGGAGGAGGAGGAGGAGAGGGAGGAGGAGGAGGAGAGGGTATCCTCAGGAGGAGGAGGACGAGGAGGAGGAGTGGGAGGAGGGGGGGAGGAGGAGGAGGAGAGGTTTCCTCAGGAGGAGGAGGAGGAGAAGGAGGAGGAGGAGGAGGAGGAGGAGGAGGAGGAGAGGAGGAGGAGGAGGGGGAGGAGGAGGAGGAGGAGAGAGGAGGAGGAGGAGGAGGAGGAGGAGGAGGAGGAGGAGGAGGAGGAGGAGGAGGCGAGGACGACGTCGTGCAGGGGGCTTGTTGGCGGGGGGTCGGCGAGGGGCCGCGCGCCCGAGGAGTGCGCCCTCTGCGTGGGCCTGCTGTTCGAGCCGGCCACGGTGCCCTGCGGCCACACGTTCTGCAGGCCCTGCCTCGCCCGGCTCCTGGACCACGCCTTCGACACCAGCCCCGCGTGCCCGATGTGCCGCGTGGACCTCTCGGCGTACCTGTGCTGGCTGAACGCCCGCGCGGCCGCCGCGGGCGACGCCTTCGTGGCGGCGCGCACGGGGGGGTAAGTGGGGGGGGAGGAGGGGGGGGGGAGGAGGAGGAGGAGGAGGAGGAGGAGGAGGAGGAGGAGGAGGAGGAGGAGGAGGAGGAGGAGGAGGAGGAGGAGGAGGAGGAGGAGGAGGAGGAGGAGGAGGAGGAGGAGGAGGAGGAGGAGGAGGAGGAGGAGGAGGAGGAGGAGGAGGAGGAGGAGGAGGAGGAGGAGGAGGAGGAGGAGGAGGAGGAGGAGGAGGAGGAGGAGGAGGAGGAGGAGGAGGAGGAGGAGGAGGAGGAGGGAGGAGGAGGAGGAGGAGGAGGAGGAGGAGGAGAGAGGAGGAGGCGGAGGCGGAGGCGGAGGCGGAGGAGGAGGAGGAGGAGGAGGAGGAGGCGGAGGCGGAGGCGGAGGCGGAGGAGGAGGAGGAGGAGGAGGAGGAGGAGGAGGAGGAGGTGGAGGAGGAGGGGGAGGAGGAGGAGGAGGAGGAGGAGGAGGAGGAGGAGGGCTTCTTAGAAGCACCCTGCTTCTCAGAAGGCGTCGACCCCTACATCGACAGACAAGGCCCGCGCCTTCTACGAAGCAGGGTTGCTTCTGAGCTCCCCCCCTCCCCCAACCGCCATGCGCGCAGCCAACTTTCGGCAGCCACGGCGGTCAGCAGATCGCCGTCAACAAGAAGCTGCAGCGTATCCTGCTGCGGCACTTCGGGGCCGAGGCGGCGGAGCGCCAGCGCCTGAACGCCAGCTCCGAGGCGGCGGCGGACGGCACGGGCGAGGACCCAGAGATTCCTCTCGCTTCGCGGAGTGCACGTCAGGATTGCGGAAAGCGCGGGCGTTTGGTGGCTTTCATGGCGGGTTTGGAGCCAGTCTGACCCCTCCGGAGGCCGTCTTGGCGGCTTCTTGCGGCCGCCTTGTGGCGTTTTTGTTGTCCTCTTGGGTTTCTTTGGGGGCCTCCTTGATAGTTATTGGGGCCTTCTTTTTGGTTCCACCGGGGCCGTCTTGGGCCCCTTTTGGGGGTTTCTCGAGTCTTCTTGGTGCAGTTTAGGTTGCTGCTTTGGCCGTCACGTTTTTTTTTTCGAACCGACGCAGGCGATAACGCTAGACTCAGTCAAAAAACAACGGGAAATCAATGATTTGGGCCTCTGGAGGGGCGCCGTCGAGGGCGCTCTTGGGGCCCTCTTGGGCCGCCTTGAGGGCCTCATAAGCCTTTGAGGGGCAGTCATGGGGCCGTCTTGGCTGGCCTCGAGGCCATCCTGGGCCCCACTTCGTCGTGAGTATCCATTTCAGTTTTTTTGTCGATCTCGTTTCCTTTGGTCCCTTTTCGTAGTTCCAGTCCTTTTTCGTAGCAGTTGTATGTTTGCGCAGACCGTGCTATGTCCGTTTCGTCGTTGCGATGCTCTCGAGTCCCTTTGCGTCGATTCAGTCCCTTTCAGTGGTTGTTTGGCGTGGACGTCCTTTTTCGCTACACGAATCATTGTTCGCGTCTGCTCCGCACCGCCCTTCACGCCTTCCTGCATTTCGTCTAGAGCTCGCCTGGAGTCGGCGACTTGGCGGCGTGCTGTTCCAGCGCTGTCCGCGGAGTGCACGCGCTCCCGCTGGCAGCCCGATGCGAATGACAAAAATGAGCGCGCAAGAGCCCCCGAGGACAACATCCCCAAACAAAAACAAGGCAGCATCTGGTCGCAGTACCGCTTCTAAAAGCGTCGCGCGTGCACGTAAGACAAAATTGCGGAACTGTTCGATGAATCGCCCCGCACGATGCGCATGGTCGCTGTCGAGCGCCTCAGTGAGGCTTCTTGGGGACCTCTCGGCCTCTGGGAGGCTTTTTGGAAGAGTTCTTTGGGCCTTCGTGAGGCCATGTCGGTCCGTCTTGGGGCGCTTTTCGGAGGGTTCTCTGGGGCTTCGTGGGACCATGTAGGTCCGTCTTGGGGGGCTTTTCGGAGGGTTTTCGGGGTTTCGTGGGGCCATGTCTGTCAGTCAGGGGGCCTTGGCGGGTTTGGAGCCCATCGGGCCCTCCCGAGGCCGTCTTGGGAGCGTCTCGCGGCCGTCGTGGGGGCCTCGTGGATTGTCTTGGGGGCCGCCGTTGGTCCTTCCAGGGCCGTTTCAGGCCTTTTGGGGGGGTGTTTATTGGCTTTGCTTGTGGCAATTTTTGACGCTGCTTGTCGTCATGGATGTGCGAAACTCGAAGCAGACAAGAGCACTGCAATTTTTTAAAACCAAAGGGAAATCAATGCTTTCGGTCTCAGGTGGCGCTGTTGGGGGCGCTTTTTGGGTCCCTCTTGGGCCGTTCTGGGGGCCTCATGAGCTCAGCATGGGCCATTTTGGGCCGTTTTGGAGGTGTCTTGGTCAGCCCAGGGGCCATCCTGGGTAATTTTGCAGCAGTCTAAAGCTTTCAAGAGGTCCAAGAGGCCTAAACCGTCGATGTCCTATGGTTTTCTAACAGGTTTGGAGAGCACGGAAAAGGGGGGTACACCCTGGTCCGGCGGAATGTCGCGACTCCAAGGGGCGGTTAGGGGGGACATAATGATGTGAAATTGTACCACATGTGGCAATTATACAACTATTCGATACATGGGATACGTTGCATCAAGGCGTTCGCCGAAAAACGCTGCCGCTCAGCACGTCACCTCCGGACGTGCATTCGCTGGTTTACGCCACACCGCCGACCCTTTTGGTGGCCCGTGCATGCCGAGGTCATACTTGATCATCGGAACTTGATTTTATGTGTTGCTGTTCTTCTCCTCTTCCTCCACTATCCTCTCCTCCTCCTTCTCCTCCTCTCCCTCCTTCCTTCCGCGCTCACTCCCCTGTACCCTCTGACTCCTCCGGTCAACTCGTGTTTCTGTTTCTTTTGCCCCCTGACTGTGGCGTTCGTTTTTTCACGTGATCTCCCATCGTTCATCGTTGCTCGCGTTCTCGCGTTTTCAATTGTCGAACGACAACGCCGCGCAAAAGACAGGCATCCAGGGCCCCGAGAGCGTGAAGGCCCGGCATTTAACGCCTGCGAGGGGCCTCTCGCCCCTCGTCCAGCCTCCGCTTGGAGGCTGTTCGAAGCCGCTTGGGGCCCCTGAGGAGCCTCCAGGGGGCTTGCGCGGGCCTCTTGGGGGCCTCTCGGGGCCCTCCTGGCGCCTCTTGGGCCGTCTTGGGGCCATCTTGGGCTGCTTTGGGCCCCCCTTGGGCCGTCCTGGGGCCATCTTAGGCTGTCTTGGGCCGCCCATTGGGCCGTCCAGGGGCCGTGTGGACCCGTCTTGGGGCCCTCTTGGAGGCCTGTTGGGCCGTCTTGGGGCGATCTTGGGGCGAGCATGGTCCTCGAAATCTCAGCCCTGTGCCAAGGGCGCGGGGCTGAATTTTTGAGGGCCCTCTCTCTGTCTCTCTCTCTCTCTCACTCTCTCTCTCTCTCTTTCTCACCCTCTCTGTCTCTGTCTCTCGTTTTCTCGCTCTTTATGCGGTTCTCTTTCCACGCGCACGCACACTCACGCGCAACGCTGAAACGGAGCAGGGAGGAGTGTGTCTGCCCTCTCACAAACAGATACGCCACGCAATGCTGTGGGGGTGGGCGAGGGAAATTGTTGCTCCCTCCATCTCTCTCTCTATCTCTTGCTGTGCGCACCCAGCACAAAACAGGAATTTGGGAGGTGAAAGTGGCTGCTCTCCCGCACCTCCCTCACAACACAGAAAGAGCAAGCGACATCTCTCACCCCCTCTCGCTTTCCCCCCCCTCTCTGCAGACGACGCAGGGATGGATATCTGATGGGGGACGTGGTTGCTCTGTCCCACTCTGCTGCGCCCGTAGCACAGATGGGGTGGGATGGATGGCGGTGATTGCCCTGTTACACACGAACACACCACGCGAGGCAGATGGGGGATACGTAAGAGGGAAACGGTTGCCTCTCTCTCTCTCTCTCTCTTTCTCTTTCTCTCTCTCTCTCTCTCTTCCCCCCCCCCCTTCTCCACACGTACACACGCACACACACAACAGCGAGAAAGGAGCAGGGAGGGGAACGGGGGTGCCACGTCTCATTCAGCACATTAGGGGGACGTGGCTGCCCTCTCAAACACAAGCGCGCCACGCGAGGCAGAGGGTGGCGGACGAGGGAAGCGTGTTGCTCCCTCTCTCTCTCTCTCGTTCTCTTTCGGCTTACGCACGCAACGCAAGAGAGGAACTCGGACGGGGACGGTGGTCGCCCTTCCGCACCTCCCACACAGCACAAGGGCAAACGGCCTCTCTCTCTCTCTCTCTCTCTCTCTCTCTCCCCCCCCCTCCCGCACACACACACGCACTCTTTCCCTCCTTTGCACGCAATGCGGAAATGTGTAGCTGGTGGGGGAAGTGTGTGTGCTCTATCCCACTCTGCACGCACAACACATGGGGAATGGGATCGGGGGGAGCCGCTTGCCCTCGCTCCCACGCGCGAAACAGCGCGCGGTATAGAAGGGGCGACGTTAGGGGGGAACGGCTCTCTCTCTCTCTCTCTCTTTCTCTTTCCCTCTCCCTCTCTCTCTCTCTCTCTTCCTCTCGTTCTCTCTCCCTCTCTCTACATTTTTTTGTGTCTCTCTACCTCTCTCTTTCACACTTCGCGCGCGCAGCACATACTGGGGACACGTACGGGAGGTGTCGCTGCTATCTCGCGTGCCCCGCGCAACGCAGAGGGGGGAGCGGGAGGCGGAAGGGATCTCTCTTTCCCTCTCTCTCTCCTTTCTTGCGAACGCACGCACCTCGGGGGCGCCTTCAGGAGGGGAACACACGAGGGGGCCGTGGTTGCCTGCTCGCGCAACTCGCGCAGCGCAGACAGGGTGGTGGGGTGGTGGTGGGGGGGGGGGGGGGCGGGGGGGGGGGGGGCGACGAAGTGGATGCTCTCTCTCTCTCTCTCACTCTCTCTCCATCCGTCTCTCTCTTTTTCTCTTTTTGCTTTCTCCTCTTTCTCTCCCTTTCCATTGGGCTCCATGTGGCCTTTGCCCTCATTCCCCCCTCGCCCCCCCCTCCACCATTGGTCTCCATCTTCCTCTCTTGGCCCTCCATTGGGCTCCATTGGCTTCCATTGGGCTCCGTTGGGCTCCATGGGTCCCATTGTTCTCCATTGGTCTCCGTTGGGCTACATTGGCCTCCATTGGGCTCCATTGACTTCCTCCTCCTCCTCCGCCCCCTCCTCGTCCTTCTTTTCCTCCTCCTCCTCCCCCTCATCATCCTCCTTGTTCTTCTCCTCCTCCACCCCCTTTTTTCTTTTTTGATTCCAGGGTATTCGTTTTGAATAGGGCACTGCGGTCGCGTCTTCTCCTCCTCCCGCCTCCCGCCTCCTGCCTCCCGCCTCCTGTCTCCCGCGAGACCTCGCCGTCCCTGTGGGTGGCTGCGATCTGCGAAACTGTCGCCACTTTCGAGGGCTGCTGGTGGGTCCAGCGGGGTGAGGCACTGCGCGGACCTGAGCGGGACCTCGCCGTCCCTGGGGGGCTGCGATCTGCGAAATTGTCGCCACTTTCGAGGGCTGCTGGTGGGTCCAGCGGAGTGAGGCACCGCGCAGACCTGAGTAGACCTCGCCGTCCCTGTGGGTGGCTGCGATCTGCGAAACTGTCGCCACTTTCGAGGGCTGCTGGTGGGTCCAGCGGAGTGAGGCACTGCGCGGACCTGAGCGGGACCTCGCCGTCCCTGGGGGGCTGCGATCTGTGAAACCGTCGCCACTTTCGAGGGCTGCTGGTGGGTCCAGCGGAGTGAGGCACCGCGCAGACCTGAGGTAGACCTCGCCGTCCCTGTGGGGGGCTGCGATCTGCGAAACTGTCGCCACTTTCGAGGGCTGCTGGTGGGCCCAGCGGAGTGAGGCACCGCGCAAACCTGAGGTAGACTTCGCGGTCCTTTGGTGGGGTGGCTGCGATCTGCGAAACTGTCGCCACTTTCGAGGGCTGCTGGTGGGTCCAGCGGAGTGAGGCACCGCGCAGACCTGAGGTAGACCTCGCCGTCTCTGGGGGGCTGCGATCTGTGAAACCGTCGCCACTTTCGAGGGCTGCTGGTGGGTCCAGCGGAGTGAGGCACCGCGCAGACCTGAGGTAGACCCCGCCGTCCCTGAGGGGCTGCGATCTGCGAAATTGTCTCCACTTTCGAGGGCTGCTGGTGGGTCCAGCGGAGTGAGGCACTGCACGGACCTGAGCGGGACCTCGCCGTCCCTGGTGGGTGGCTGCGATCTGCGAAATTGTCGCCACTTTCGAGGGCTGCTGGTGGGTCCAGCGGGGTGAGGCACTGCGCGGACCTGAGGTAGACCTCGCCGTCCCTGTGGGTGGCTGCGATCTGTGAAACCGTCGCCACTTTCGAGGGCTGCTGGTGGGTCCAGCGGAGTGAGGCACCGCGCAGACCTGAGGTAGACCCCGCCGTCCCTGGTGGGGGGCTGCGATCTGCGAAATTGTCGCCACTTTCGAGGGCTGCTGGTGGGCTCGCCACTTTCGAAGGCTGCTGGTGGGTCCAGTGGAGTGAGGCACTGCGCGGACCTGAGCGGGACCTCGCCGTCCCTAGGCGGCCATGTCATGTTGTTGCTGCCCCGCCGACGTTTCAAGCCTCTTGCCCACAGTCTCCTCTTGCACCTTGCATCTTCCTTGGTGACTCAGGGGTTCACTGAATTACTGATCGTTTTTCCCTTGATTGGGGACCTGCGGACCTTCCGAATGCCGCTCGCAGAAGTATATGCGTCCATGTCACGTCGCCGTCTTCTCGTCAAATCTCCCAAGCCACTCCTGCCCCGCATTGCGCAGGGGTTGGGTTCTTCTCCAGGGTAAGCATTTTTTATTTTAGGGGGGGTGGTGGGGGCGGGGGAACATCGAATCACATATTGTTCCCTGGGGGGGAGGGGAGAGGGGGGGGATCATCGCCCTGCTCTTCTACTCGTCCTGCCTCCCCCTCCCTCTCCTCCTCCTCCTCGTTTTTTCTTCGGGGGGTGAACGGACGAACAGGACGGAGGAGGAGGAGGAGGAGGAGGAGGAGGAGGAGGAGGAGGAGGAGGAGGAGGAAGAGGAGGAGGAGGAGGAAACGGAGGAAACGGAGGTGGAGGAGGAGGATGAGGAAGAGGAGGAGGAAATGGAGGAGGATGAGGAAAACGAGTTCGGGCACAGAGCTTTCAAATCGCCTCTTGAAGCCCCTTCGGGACTGTTTTGGGGATCTTGGGGTTCTCTTGGGGCTCTTTTGGAGGTCTTGGGGCCCTCTTAGGGCTCTGCTGGGGCCTTCTTTGGGGCCCTGGAGCGCCTCTTGGGGCAACCTTGGAGGCTATCAATCAAAGGAGGGGCGGTCGTAACGTCTGGTCCCCCCACTGGGGTCCTCGAGATCGCCCCTTGGGGCGCTCTTGGGCTGCTCTTGGGGGCGATTTTGAGCGTTTTTTGGGCCGTCTTGGGGGCCTTGGGCCCTCGGGCCATCTTGGGTCTGAAGCTTCGAAAGGCGCATCGGAAGCAACACAGCGAGAAGGCAAACATCATTGGATGTCTACGGTTTTTGAAGGATTGGGCCTCTTGGGGTTGTCCTGAATGGGGGCTCCGAGAGCACGTGCCTTCTTCCTGTGGCCCTCGTCAGGCCTCTTGGAGGAATGCCGGAAGCTATGTTGAACCATCCTCGCTTAGCTTGAGCCATCTTGGAGGCTATCTTGAAGCATCAGAGGCCTTCTTGGAGCCATCCTGGGCTAGGAAGGACCCTCTGCCACATCGCGGCCCGCCAGAAAAACCAGGGATGGGCGGGTGAGGGTACCCCTCCCCAAAGGGAAGAGGGTATGATACGAGGAGAGAACGAGATCGCTAGACCTCCTTGGCCCAGAGGGCTGGTGGGGTTTTCGGCTGTCTTCGTCAGGGTCGCACATCGTGGATGCTTTCAGACTCTGCTCTGGGAGCACAGCTGGCCTTCGTGTGGCCCTCCGGGGCCACGCGGACATCACGGCGAAACGGCCTGGAGGCCGCGGGAGCCATGCCTGGGCCGTCGGCGCCCGCCCGGGAGCAGAGCCGGGGCCGCTGGCGCCGTGCTGGCTCCGCAGGCGCCGCCAGGACTCCTTGTCCCCCCCCGCCCAGACTGGCCGGACCAGCCTCCCTGGGGCAGTGGCAAGGGAGGGGCCACATCTCACCCGCCGAGTGATCTCGAGGGGTCGGCGGATCCCCATCTTCGTGTGCTCCCTGGCCATCCCGGGGGTCGCCTGCCCCCTCCACATCTTCGAGCCCCGTTACAGGCTGATGATGCGCCGCTGCATCGAGTCGGGGCAGCGCCAGTTCGGCATGTGCCTGTTTCCAGAGGCGCCCTACGGCACGATGCTGCGCATTCTGAAGTTCGACCAGCTGCCAGACGGCAGGTCGGCAATTCAGACTGTGGGAACCCGCCGCTTTCACGTCTTGCGGTGGGGTCAGAAGGCTCTCGGGACCAACCATGGCAGGAGGAGGAGGAGGAGGAGGAGGAGGAGGAGGAGGGGGAGGAGGAGGAGGAGGAGGAATAATTGTACTATGCAGAATAATAGCAAGAATATGCATAACTTCAACTAACAAGAAAAATACTGATGTCTTAATCATACTAACACTAGGAGTGTTCTTACTAATAATGATAACATTACCAATGCTAATAATATGATTGACTAAGAATAGTCATAACACTATCAAGACGAATAATAGGAACATCATGAACACTAAGGCGAATCCGACCAACCTTATGAGTACTACTAATACTATTAATGATAAGGCGAATGCTTGTCATACCACTGCTACCAGTACTACCAATACTACTTACAATACTACGAATCATACATACAGAAGAAGTGCACGAATCGTACGACTGCTGCTAACACACGTAATAGTAATGATATCATAAAAAGACGATAAGAATTAATACTACTATCAATAAGACGAACAATAGTACCACTCATAGTAGCACATATATATACATACATATAGTCACAAATATTAAGCACAATGATGATGCTGGCAATCATGTTAGGATTACTAGCAGCACTAGCAAAACCACAGTCACTAATTCTTAAGGGCACTATCAATACTACGACAACTACTACTAATACTAGTAATGAAACGCACAATGATGCTCCGGACATGAAAGCCGATATCATATTTACTTATCATTAATACTCATTAACATTGCGAAGGATACTTTGTAACCGCCACAATATTTTTAGTACTACTAGTCGTGCTGATAACATTGTGAATAACACCCATGATAATGACATGTGTGTACTAACGATCGTATTAGTAGCTACCAAAGATGAACCATGTTATTACTACAGGCAATCATACTAACACTCGCATTCATACTGCTACTACTACTACTACTACTACTACTACTACTGATAATAATGCTATTACTACTGCTAATATTAATACTGATGATTCCCAAGGTAAATCAATTAGTATTGTTGTTATTATCCATGCTATTTCCTCTAAACAAAAACCTATGCACATGAATATGTGTAATGATAGTATTACTGTTCATAAACATATCAAGGATAACACTAGCGACAATGTTAGTATTAATGCGACTCCTAACACGAATGGTATTATCAACAGTCATAATGCGAATGAGAAGAAGACGAAACATGATATTAATACTAGTTGTAAGAAGAGGAGGAGGAAACGGAGGAGGAGGAGGAGGAGGAGGAAGAGGAGGAGAGGAGGAAGAAGAGGCGGAGGAAGAGGAGGAGGAGGAGGAGGAGGAGAGGAGGAGGAGGAGGAAGGAGGAGGAGAGGAGGAGGAGGAGAGGAGGAGAGGAGGAAGGAAGGAGGAGAGGAGGAGGAGTAGGGAGGAGGAGGAGGAGGAGGAGGAGGAGGAGGAGGAGGAGGAGGAGAGGAGGAGGAGGAGGAGGAGGAGGAG